TACCAACTTTTAACAATATTCCTTATGTTTTAATTGGAACTTGATTCTTAAATATTCCTGCTTAAGAAGGAACCTTTGTCTCCAGATGATAAATTGGAAATCTTTTCCTTATATTATTCTCACAGGGTGGGGTGTGTGTTTGTATATATAAATGTGTGTGATGACAGGGATAGAATCCAAGGCCTCACCTGTGTTGAGCAACTGCTCTCGTCATTAGCTGCACCCCAGCGCCTGACTGCATTATCTCTAGGTTCAGTGAGGATGACTCATAAGTTAAATACATTCAGGTGGTTACTTGCTTTCCCCTTGAATCATTTTTTTTTCTTATAACCTCCTCTCAACTGTGTCCATAACAGCTGTCCTCATTCTCACTTCCTGATCAACTGACAGGATATGTGTCATAGTTGATGGCAATGGTGAGGGACACACAGATGATGTCTGTTTTCATATCCTCTTCTTTAGATTCTATAAATTATGTACAGTCACCCTACTGCTGGCAAACACTAAATGACAATATGAGACTGAACTGAAATGGAATTATTATTGGTTGGAGCTGAATTCCTGAGTTCAAATTCTGAATCCACCATTTTCTGGCTTGTATGAACTCCTACAAGACATTCATGACAAGCGGTCTTTCATATGCAAATTGGAGTGATCTGTTGTGATATATTTGATTACACTGTGTGAAGATGTGTCACTGTGATTGATTTAATAAAAAGCTAAACAGCCAATAGGTAGGCAGCAAGGACTTCTGGACAGAGAGAGCTCTAGGAAGAAGAAAGGCAGAGTCACCAGCCAGATGGAGAGGAAGCAGGATGGGCATTACAGAGTAAAGGTAACTGAGCCAGGTGAAAGAATGTTGATTAATAAAAATGAGTTACTTTAAGTTATAAGAGCTAGCTAAAAACAAGCCTAAACTATCAACAGAGCATTCATAATTAATAATAAGTTTCTGTGTCATGATTTGGGAACTGCTGTCGGGACAGAGAAACACTGGCTAATCCTATCTCACTTGGGAAATCTGTCATGAAGGCTGAATGATTAGCTCTGAAGAGGCTTGCACCATCACCTAAAATCACACAGTAAACAGGTCTTATTTTTGACTTCTACTCACATACTTTCCAAGTTTCTTAGCTTACCAGAACAGATAACAAAATAATGACTCAGTAGCTTTCAAAATCCTGTCTTCTGTTTCTGGGGGTGAGGTCTGCTGGTGTTGGAGGAGCTGTCAGCAGTTTCTCTTCAGACCTGTGTTCCTCTTTGATTTTTCCTTGTGGTCTTCCCCACAGGGAGCCAAGAGAGAAGAGCTGTTGAGAACCACAGCTTTTATCAGAGATGGAAAGGGTTTTTCAGAAATTTCTGTCCGTGGCTCTTTGGCTAGACCAATGTCTTACCGTGCAAGTGTGTCAACAGAGCAGAATGACTTCCAGCATTTACCATAACCAGGATGTTGAGGAAAACAGTTGGCTGGCATTGGTTACCAGTGTTTGACATATCAGATCGTAAAATTTTATCACACACACACACACACACACACACACACACACACACACACACACACACAAATGGTAGAAGATGTACCAAGATTACAAGTATGTTTACATTGAAGCACAAATGCTTTTCATTCTGTTTCCATAGAATTATTTACTAAAGTAAATGACCTATTCCACCCTCCCACAGAAGAATAGCAATAAACTTCGAAGACCCTAAAATAATTTCCACTTCCTTTCATGTTGCTCATCATTTTCTTTCCTTCCCTAGTTTTGTTTGTGCATATGTGGATGGTTGTGTGTGTACATGAGTGTGCAAGCCTGTATGTATGCCAGTGTGAGTGCATTGAATTTATGCCTGTCTGTGGAGGCCATTAGTCAATCATGTGTTATTCCTAAGGAGCTGTCTACCTTGTTTCACTAGACAGGGTTCCTCAGTGGACTCTGGAACTCACTATTTTAAGGCCAGCTAGCCAGAGATCTGCATGAATCTGCCTCCTGAGCAAATTAATAATGTGTGACACTTTTAGGTGGGTTCTAGACATTAAACTCAAATCCTCACACTTGCAAAGCAAGTATTTTATCAACTGATCTATCTTACCAGCCTCTTCTCTTTTCCTTGAAGAATTGCCTGGTGGGTTCCTAAAGAATGTGTTCCAAACTTCTAGTACTGCTGACCAGGAGGGTCATCTGTGGATCTGGGAAGGATCTGCTTGTCCTGCGGGTCTGAGAAGGCAGGCAGACTGGCAGTTGGGACACAAAGCCATCTGCTGGAAGATGTTAGCATGGCAGGTTCTTCTTGTCTCAGGCTAGAACCTGGTCAAGTGAAGAAATGAGAATGGAGATGGTGGGAGTCATTCAAAGTGCAGGCAAAGTCAAAGAGCACTCCCAGCTCTCTCTACAAAGCAAGCAGAGGAAGGGTAAGAGGGCAATAGCTGAGACTCCACTGTCATTCACTTCAAATATTTATTGAAGCATGCTGGTAAATGGTAAAAAAATACAAATCTATACTTGTGATCTCTCGAGTATAGATCTCTAATTGCTTCTCTTACAAATCAATTGTTTTATTCTGTGTATTCAAGGATCCTGGATTTTTTTCTTTTTCTATGTAGTGCATGAATTGAGCGATGTTTCAATAATATCTGAGATTAAATATTACAGCCTGCCTCCCTTTTCTGTCTCTTCTAAACATTAAGATCCACTGATTCTTAAAGGAGATCTGTGCATAGCCAGAACATTTACCCTCAGGCTGCTTCATGTACTCCCCTGCTCCCTATCTCTGATGAAGGCTCAACTGGTTTCTTTATCTAAAGGGCATCTATTAAAATGGAAGGAAGGAAACCTAATAGTTTTTAGATCTCCCTATGTTTTATGTGTTGGATATTTAAAACTTGATTTATTGTATAATCCCCTGCCTTTGTTTTTTGACATTTTACAAGTGTATTCTCAATATTTGCTTAGCATTTGTAATATCTCCAGCTACTCTCTTATAGTTCCTTCAGATATTCATACATTGTTAGCAGGCAAAAATGCATTGGTACAAATGTATCTCTGTGTCTATTTATTCACGCTCCCACCCTAGGTGGGGGAATGCTGTGTATTCTTATCAATTACCCTTTCATGAGCAATAAATTACTTTGAACAGAGCTCAAGCCCCTTGTGGGAGTGTGAGCATTTGATGTCCATATAAAATCTTTTAATGCCTTTATCATTTCCTCTAATGTATGGATTTACAAAAGCCTGTGGGGACTTGGTATTTATTGAAAATGGAAATTGGCATAAGAAGTCAGTAATAAAGTAAATTAATATATGATCTATTTTACAAAGACCATTGTAAATATAATTTAATACATCACACACACACACACACACACACACACACACACACTGATATTCTATTCTGGAAAGGCTGTCTCCACCTGTGATTTGATATATATAAAATCAGTGACTTTATTGTAATTTTGTGAAATATAGTTCTTGCTCCTTTTTAAAATACTTATTTTATGATTTTTAAAAATTATTTCTAATTGCTCACATAGAAATTAGCCCATCCTTTTCAATTGCATTGGATAGCTTGTAGTATCTTAAACTCATTATTAAAGGCTGCCTTCTCCCCTTAATTTGACATATTTAGCAGAAAATAGTCCTGTTTAGGAGAATCAGGCTATTATTATTTTTGATTTGTCTTAGTGGCAAACCTTGTTCATATGTTCCCATGGCAAGGAGTCATTTCCATAACTCACGGTCCAGTCCTCTGTTTGTATCCTTATGTAAAAGAATTCTTGAAGTACAAGCCTCTTTGTACCTTTTAAAATATATTTGTGGGGGGATTGAGAATTTGTATATGTTCATAAAACAGAACATTAGTTATGCTTGCCTCTAACAATGCTTACTGATTTTGGTTTTAACTTAAATGTGAATAATGATATGTAGCTCTGTTCAAAATTGATGACAAGGGGAAGGACAGGCTAGACTGTGAGGGGCTCGACCTTCACTTGATGTTCTCGTAGAGGTTGGATCTGATAAGAGAGATAGTTCTTGCTAGTCCGCAATTTCATTCTAAAGACCCTGTTGGCCTCCAGCCTCTTCCAGTGAAGACTGGGCCTTAGTATTGTAACTGTTTCCCTCTTTGTTCTTATGTTGGACTGCCCTTTGGAAGCCAGGAGATCGTCTCATCCTGCCATCTCCTGATTGGTAGGCACTCACACCTGACCTTCATCTTGTGGTGCTTGCCTGGGACTTAAGTCCACACTAAATGTAGCAATGAGACATGAGAGCAGTCTCTACTGTGGTTTTCCTTTTCCTAGAAGTGCATGAGCACTCCCTAAAGTTAGCATAGAGCCATATCTATGTGTTCTCTGAAGAGATGTCATTAGCACTGCTTAGTTATTTTCATGATTTGTTTCATCTGTCAGTCTTGATAGTACAATATGTACTCCCCTGATAGAGCATTATGGGGGGGGACAGAGAATGAATAGAATAGAGACTCCCCCATATTAAAATGTGGTAAGTTGGTAAGTTACCAAAAAGTACTATACAAACCAGCAGTTTCATACGTAAACCAAGCAGGGAGTTGGAACTTTGAGAAATTAGTCCCCTCCACCCTCATTCACATATGCTGAAAAACCACATGTACACTCTATGTTTTTCCCCAAGGTTTAAGGCAGTTTGCAATCCTCACTGCCTATGAGATAACCGTTAAAAGGATAACTTACAGCTACTTGTCTCAGTTATTTCCTCAGACCCTCAGATTCTAATGGAATTTGGGAGTTCTCACATTCATGCTTTCATTTGTTCAGCCATATGTAGTTGCATCCCCCCAGGGGGGGGGGTTCTATTTTTTGCTAGGCTGACTTTTGGAAGATAACCCCTGAAGCAGATCTTACAATCATGCTGTATTGACAGTGTTTCAGCTCAGACTTCTTTTAAGCTGGTGTGGATTCATCATTGCGATCTGATGTGTGAGCTCTGGCTACAGGCTGCGTTCTGATGTCCTCTTCCATTTTCCAGGAGCCGACAATGGTGAAGTTCTTCCCGACTCTATCCCTTCTGCCCCTGGAACACTGCCTCATTTCATAGAGGAGCCTGAAGATGCCTACATCGTCAAGAGCAATCCGATTGCACTCAGATGCAAGGCCAGGCCAGCCATGCAGATTTTCTTCAAGTGCAATGGCGAGTGGGTCCATCAGAATGAGCACGTCTCGGAGGAAAGTCTGGACGAGAGCTCAGGTAAGGGGTAAAGCAAACAGAAGAGAGGCACCCACGCGAGGCACGTCCTCAGATCCTCACCTTGTTACTTAAGTGGTGGGGGGAGGGAGGAACTTAAGAAACTTGCCATCCCCTTATGTGGATTAAGTTAACATGACATCATCTTAGGCATCTAAGACAAATGATCTCATCTTTCAGTGACCTGACAGCTCCCTTTGTTGTTTATTCCAGTATAGTTCAGAGCCATTTTTCATGTTCTGCATAACTTCAAACATTCTATGAAGGTAATATTCCCATTAGAAATAAAACCAGACAGTTGCTGTTTCCATTTTACAAATTCTAAATAATTTTGAGACAAATATTAAATCTTTCATCAAAGCCACTTTAAGCAGCATAATTTCAATCACTTTTATCTTTCCTCCTGGATGTTGCTCTAATGTCTATATTCTCCACAGCTGGTGGCTTCTGAATTTTTTTTCTGAAGCTGTTTTGATTGTTCAATAGTGATATACCCAGAACTAGAGCAAAGCATTCTGATGGGCTTTCAATATGAGTAGATTTTTAGGATCATCTTTATTAGTATGGCTAATTTTGCTGATAAATGATGAGAATATGACCACACTCAACTAAAGTTTACTGAGTACTCAAGCTATGGAGCCTTATCTAGAGAGGCATTAGTTCAGTACTGACAATCATTTATTGGGGTACATAAGATTATTGACTTCTAACAGATAAGGAATTGGAGGCTCAAAGAGATCTTAAATGTGCATGAAGTGTTTGGACTAGGTCTCAGTATATTTTTTTATAAGAACATTCAAATATTTTTAAAAGTTTGGTACTTATTTTATTTTATTTGAATGTTTTACATACAAGTATATATGCATACAATGTGCATGCTGGTTACCCTAGTAGGTCAGAAGAGGGCATCAGATCCTCTGAAACTGGAGTTAAGGATGGCTGTGAATTACCATGTGGGTGTTGAGAACCAAACCAGGGTTGTCTGCAAGAGCAATAAGTAATATTAACCACTGAGCCGTCTCTCTAGCACAATATCAGAGATTTCTTTTGCCTGCTCTTGAGACTCTTTTCCACTAATTGGGTTGCCTTATCCGGCCTCAGTATGCTGGCTTTTGCATTGTCTTTTTGTATCCTGTTATGTGGTGTTTGGTTGTTGTCTCTTGGAGGCCTGCTCTTTTCTGAAAGGAAATGGAGGGGCATGGATCTGGGGAAGAAGGTAAGTGAGGGAGGCTGCTAGAAAGAGTGGAAGGAGTGGGAAATGTGGTTGGTATGTACTGTATGAGAGAAGAATCTATTTTCAATAGTAATAAAAAATTAATGAATGATGAGTAAAAATTAAGCATACATTTTTGAAAAAGTTGGTTTTATATTTCTGCATATGACAAAAAGGCATACATGCTTTTGAACTTTATTTCCTCTTCAAACAAGTTTAAGCTTATACTGACCCTATATTATTCTTTTTTATGAGTCCTGATTTGGTCAGTTAACCAGATATTAGATTTTGAGAAAGTCAGAATGCCTTGGTATAATTAGAAAGTTTCAAATGAGCTCATTGTGTTAAATGTAATGCTGATAGTCAGTGCATTTTAAATCTTTTAGAATATTTAGTAAAAAGAAAGATATAGCTCAGATGGGTATTCTGTGAACATATGGAAAGGACAAGACAAATATTCCAACAAATACAGTATGAGTGAAGTTTAAATGTTTTAAGAGAGGTATGTAGCATTATGGATTCATGGAATCCCACTGGGATTTTATGGAAGGGACATTACTGATCCAGATAGGCATCACTGATGATGTACTCTATAAAGGTATGAAGCAGCTTTATGCTATAAAGGTCATCATCATTAGCCAATGGACAAAAGCTTCATGTGTACACAGTAAGAAATTTAGTTTGTTTGAAATGTAATTTTGCTAGTGTAGGAGAATGACAGCAGATAGAGAATGCGATCAGTGAGGTAGAAGGCCTCAAAGGCCATTGGATGAGAACCACACTTGGGTAGATGTGTTAGTGGTCATGATTATGTTGCAGTGCAAAGGTGTAGTGACTAGAACGTGCTTTCCGGGACTAATCCTGCAGAAAGGTTGGAAATGGCAAGGAAAAGCAAAAGTGAGGAAATTTGGAGACCTAGATAACTTGAGTAAGGAAAGAGAAGTCAGATGTTTAAGTAGGAACTAGATGCCCAGGAAAAAAAGCACTTTAGTAGCTATGAGTTTAGGACTATTTAATAACATAGGACATCAGAGTTGATTGGATAAATAAATGAATGGAGACAGACTGATATCAATTAACCTTTTGCTAGGAGAATGGTGTAATTAATCCAAATTACATTGACAGGGAGAATAATCCAGAGATGGTTGTTGGGACAAGCACAATTTGAAATGCTTATATATTTCAGTAAAGAGACAGAGGTTTGAGTGTTGACAGAGTTCAGAGGCACATGGGTACATTGGACAATTATCAGTAAAGAATGAAGGTATAGAGATGGAGGAGTTGTCAAGGTAAATGGGTGTGTGAATAAGAAAAACATCTAGGAGCTTGTCATCAGAAGCCAGAAGGAAGGAGAGCCCCATCTGATAGAGAATTAACTGGAGTATTCATAGTTCCCAGAGGAGGTTGCTCAAAATGATCTTCAGGAAATATTCTGTCAATACTGGAAAAGGACAAGAGTGAAAGCATGCATGTACACATACACACACGAGAGAGAGAGAGAGAGAGAGAGAGAGAGAGAGAGAGAGAGAGAGAGAGAGAGAGAGAGAGAGAGAG